TGGCCATTTTGGCCCCTGTTTACTCCATCCTATTTATTATACAAAAAGTACTCAGTGAAATTAAGATGGCAACTTTAAAATGAGTAAAGGGTAATATTTATTAATGGAACATATAACTAACCTGTGAAACTTGCTGCTGCAGGATACTATTGAAGCGAACCTTTTAATAAGGTTCAAAAAACATCAGATGCCTGTCTAAATAAGAATAGCTTCTTCAGTGACACTAGCTAGAGTAAAATAAGGAATGTCTATCCTCCTCCTTCGTTGTAATTACCAGGATTTCAGGGTGGGAAGAAATGTCCCTCTCATGGGATACCACTACAGGGAAGTGCATTATGGAAGACTTTCATCTTCCTGTGATGAATCTGGAATTGACCGCTGTTGTTCTGACATGTATGGACCTAACATAATTAATGTATTATGGAAGTTGCAGTAAGTTGACTTGGAAGAAAAGTATGCTAGTGTGTGCTGAAAAACATCACATGGGTAGGTCTGATCTGGTCCTCATTTTAAAAGCTGAACAGGTTGAGTCTGGTTAGTTCCTGAATTGGAGGCCTCTAAAGAGAAAGGTATATATGTTCCTTGCATCGTGGACAGCAGCTCCTCTTCAGTCTCCTACAGAATCTCACCCTGTAATTCTAGACACACTTCCTTCCCTACCATTTTTTCTGCATATATTTATATAAAAATAAGCCAAACAAAATTTGTATGCAAAACCTGAGAGTGCATTTTTAAGTGCAGTTGTGCTTTGAGATGGCACTTCCTTTGACTATCCTAACTCATTCACTTCCAAGGCTCCAACAACTCTTAGTCAATGCAGGAATTCCTCGGAGGCCCAGCAAGCCTACTACTTTTCACTTCCAGTTTATTTTCCACAAAGTCTAACTTGCCCTTTAATAAAGAATTCTTCATTTTAGTCGTGTGTTCATTCACCGTATGCTCTGACTTGTGACTCTTCCGTCATTCAGATCTGGTTAATTTGCATTAAGGTAGCTTTTGGCTTTGAATCTCTTTTTTATTTGTTGATTATTAGTACATATCTTATCTTGCTCAAATAGAATGGTATAGGCTCTCTCTTCTGCCTGCTATAATCAGTACTTGTGAACTTGCATGGATACTAACCAGGCTGTATAATTAGTAGATAAAGTGCCTGATTTAAATGCACGAGCAGTAACTTGAAAGCCTATTACGATTTTACTCTTACTAGATTTCTATTCGCTTTTCCATTAGTGCAGTTACAAGCTGACATTCTTAACACTTTAAGTCAATCAAAAAAGTCTCACTAAAACATTAAAAAAAAACAACCCTGAAATGGGATATCTTCACATGGGAGCTTTATTAAAACACCTCTCAGAGAGCGGGTCACCCTTTGTGACTGAAGTTAGATCATCACTGGAGATAGTGATGGAGAGTGAATTACTTTTCAAAACGATAGGAGGGGCAGACTCTCCTCGTCTAAGATGGTCTCCTCCTAGGCCTTAACGAGGATGGTTTTGTTTGCTGAGTGGTTAGAATTGTGTATTTGGGGACTTTTGTTCATTTATGCATCAGTCTGGTATTTATTAGGCCATGTTGCTTTTGGGTGTTAGTAAAGGCAGAATGTGCTCTTTGGGGCAGGGAATCACGTCATCCCTTCTGCTTGTTCAGTGCCTAGGACGTTGTGGGCACTACACAAAACACAGTGTTTGTAATTTTGTTGGGACATCCAGAAGCCTTGGGGTTTGGGGTACCATATAAATCAGTCTTTATTGTTATTCAGTGGAGCAACCTACACCACTCGGACTTTATTGATACTGCTGGATCCGTGTTCCGATCTGCTATTTCTCTCCTGATGCCATCAGGCACTGCAGCCCGCCAGCTGCCCCCAAGCATCGCCAGAGTGGAGCCAAAGAGCCGAGCTGTGTTTCCTCTTGGAATGGGCCATGCCACAGAATATGTCCGGCACCGGATGGCGCTTATTGGGTAAATTGCTTATGGAGGGCTGGAGGTGCCATGGTTGTTTTTATGGGAAAACAGGCCATTTCTGGTTCCATAAAGTGTATATTGTTTGGGGAATGAAGTGAAGCGCACCTGGCACAGCAGGAGTGTGGATTATTCAGGGAGGGTGATAGTTGTGGTGCCAGACATATTCCTGTCCCCAGTTAACAGGTGGAGCAAGTGGATTACATCTGAAGCCATGGAGTGGAGAGGTTCTTCAAGGAAAAAGGCAGGCAGAGTATGTGTAGCACAGTGTGGGGAGGTATTGGAGGTCAGATACCTGTTAAATAAGGTGTGTGTGTGTGTGTGTGTGTGTGTAGATATAGTGGACATGGAGTGCTATAAGGAGGGGCTTATTAGAGAGAGGAACTGAAGTGTGTGCTACACCAGCAGTTCTCAACCAGAGGTCCCGGGTCCCCTGGGAAGCCACGAGCAGGTTTCAGGGGGTCCACCAAAATAAACCAGAGAGCAGGGCCAGCATTAGACTCACTGGGACCCAGGGCAGAAAGCTGAATCCCGGGCCCCACTGCCTGGGGCTGAAGCAGAAGCCTGAGCAACTTAGCTTCGCAGGGCCCCCTGTGGTGTGGGGCCCTGGGCAATTGCTCTGCTTGCTACACCATGATGCCAGCCCAGGCTTTTAATCTACTGAAAAACAGTTGTGGCACAGGTGGGCCATGGAATTTTTATAGCATGTTGACGGGGGCCTCAGAAAAAGATTGAGAATCTCTGTGCTACACTCGGGGCAGGGACTTAGTGGGTAAGGAAAACATGGACTGTCTCTGCTCTCCTCTGGTTAGGATATGAGATGCTCTCTGCTCTGCCCTTAGGGATGCAGCACACAGAGTCCATCCACTAGCAGGACAAGGTGTAAATATGGGCTTTGGAGATATTGCATGCTTGGCACATCACCTCAGCACAGCGGCCTTCAATGGGAAGGATCTGGGTAAGGATACATAATCGTAAGGAATAATCTATGGTAATAATTTGAATATCCCCTTCTCCAAGTCTCCCAGTATATCTGAACTTCTTTCTTTTACATAGTGAGCTCTTCAGGGCAAGGATTGACTCAGTTTGTTTCCTGTACACCTCTGGGCACATTGGTGTCTCATAAAATGAATAATGTACCAGCATATTTATAAACTGGGATGAGCTGGAGTGTCCAAACTTCATCTGTGGACCAGTCAGAGAGTGATGCTTCTGGATGCATTTCCCTTCCCAAAACCCATGTTGTGTTGCCTAGTTGACAGAATGTTCCATTCTGCTGGCCCCTGGTATAAGGAAATGTGGGAATAAGAGCTGCTGAAGGGAACAAGGAACTCTTGGATCTTGCTACTTGCTGAATAGCACCTTTTTAAGATGAATCTAGAGCAGGGGAGGGCAAATTACGGGCCGCGGGCTGGATCCGGCCCATCCGGGCTTTCAATCCGACCTGTGGGATTGCCAGCCCCATGGTGAAGCAGGGCTAAGGCAGGCTCCCAGCCTGCCCTAGCCACGCGCTACTCCCAGAAGTGTTTAGCACCACATCCCTGCAGCCCCTGGGGGATGGTTGGGGCAGAGGGCTCTGTGTGCTGCCCTTGCATGCAGGCACTGCCCCCCACAGCTCCTATTGGCCGGGAATGGGGAACTGCGGCCAATGGGAGCTTCGGGGGTGGTACCCGCGGGCAAGGGCAGCGCGTGGCAGGGCCGCCTGCCCCACCCCACCCCCAGGAGCCACTGCTGGAAATACTGGCCACTTTTAGGAGCGGTGCGGAGCCAGGGCAGGCAGGGATCCTGCCTTAGCCCCGCTGTGCACTGCTGCCACCCCAGAGCTGCTCGACGTAAGCGACGCTGAGCCGCACCCCGAATCCCTCCTGCACTCCAACCCCTTGCCCTGAGCCCCCTGCCGCACCCTATCCCCCATACCCTGAGCCCCCTCCCGCACTCTGCACCCCAACCCCTTGCCCTAAGCCCTTTCTTGCACACTGCACCCTCTCCCACGCTCCCTCCCACACCCCAACCTCCTGCCCCAGCCCTACATTCATGGCCCTGCATGCAATTGCCCCACGCAGATGTAGCCCTCGTGCCAAAAATTTTGCCCATCCCTGATCTACAGAGTGCAAAGATCGTTGGGGTGTGTGTGTGCTTTGGGTGCCTGTGGAGCTCATTATGTCAGTGGCATGAGCAGTTGGGACTGCAATTTAATTCTCACCTCTTTTCCAGGCTCCTTAAAGCACCTCTTACAGTTTGAGACAGAACGTCAGAGGCATAACCTCTCTTTAATGGCTGCCATCGACTTGTTAAAGAGACTCTACTCCACAAATGTCGCTCCCTTTGTGCTGTTGAGGACATGGGGATTACAAACAACAAATGCCTTGTCTCCAGTCAAAGTAAGAGGCACCGTTAGGACACTTCTAACTAACTTGTGATGATACAGTGGGCTGAGTCGCTAGCAGATTCAGGAGGAATGACACGCTGTGTTCAAATGGCATGTGAATGAGGCACTCCAAAGATGGCTTGAGTGGTCTTCACTTCTGTGCCATTTGTTAATGATTCTACCTTGGCTACAGTGTGGGTCTCTTCCTATAGCCCAGAGAGGGCTACCTGAAGAGAAGTGGCAGTAACAGTGTTATCCCTAAAGATTCTTTATTATTTTTTTTTTCCCCTGAGGCCCAGATGCCCGTGTGACCCACTTCCACATAGCCAGATGACTTGACCTAGTTGCAGTGCTTTTATGGTGAGCCATCTCTTAGGCAAACCACCTATTATCAGCACAGCTCCCTCTAATCCAGCAACCTGCACTTTGAGTTTCTCAGTTTTTGATTTGTTTGACCCTGACTGTATGTAACTCCTTGAGATATGTTGCAGAGGGTCAGAAGCCGACTATTCTGAACAGCACTCACTTAGGAATGAGCAGTCTCCCAAGGCTCAGTGGCTGCCAGTGGAGAGTAATGTGCACTGTTCTGCACGAATGCTTTGACTACCTTGAAAATGTTTTTATCTGACCAGAAAGGAGACAGGGGCTTTTCATTTGTTTTTTCTCTTTCTAGCAATAAGTGGAGTGGGTCAGCCCTCGGTGCTGGGCTGCTCAGGAAGGACAGTAAAGTGCTCCACTTGTCTTCCCTGTGTCTGCTGGAAAATTAGGCCATGTTGAATCCCTCTGCCTTCCTTTCCTTAGACAGGAAGAGAGATGGTATCCACTGGGGTAGAGGGAAGGAGGATGCAGCAGCTTTCTCTGCTTTGTTTCTAAATATTTGTCTCTCACTGGTTCACAAGTGACTCTTTTTTTCCCCTTTCCCTCTCTAGGAGCAGATTATGTCCTTTGCCAGTAAGTAAGTTCTCCATGTGTCTAGAGCTGCAGTTCACCAGTCACTGCTGGGAACCTGAGATCTTTAATCCTGTGAGGACTATATCATGTATGGTTTGGAAACATATATTTAAATAGTGTCTTTGAAGAACAATAATAAAAACAGGAATGAATTTTTTTTTCAACATATACTCATCTTTGCTCTGCCTGCCTTTGAGGACTAACTCCTGGCCTGTGGAACCAGTAGTTTCAGCTACTGAAGCATCTTTGCTATGTGCTTTCATATAGAAGTAGTCCTTTTAGCCTAAGGTTGAAGAGGCAGTAAATGTACTGTTTTTCCTACACCTTACTGCACTGTGGTGCTCTCCCTCTGGGTTGTCAGGCTCCAGCTGCTGGAGCAAGATCTGGTGCCAGATCAGGGTAAGACTGGCTCTGTAAGCCTGAGCCTGTCTCCTCGTCCCCAAACAACCCCCTCTTGGGAGGGCCAAGGGGTGTCTAATGGAGGGCCCTTCTCAGGAAACTGGCTAGTCTTGAGAGTTGTGGGTGCCATCCCATTTCTTTGGTACGGAGGAGTAACACTGAGATCTAGAAAGGAGGAAAACTTCATCACCAAGGTTTGAATCCAAGAACATTTTGTTAAAAATAGCTTTTTAATTACTAAAATAGGCATTTGAGTGGCCTTGTCTTAATGTTCCAAACACCAGGCTCCTACATTAGACAATTAATTACTTAATGCTGTAATACAATGTGAGCACTGGATTTATATTTTATAGCAGTGCTATCATGTACATTTAACTAATATCAGGAATTAACATTACAAAGGGGACTTAAATGTGAGTTTGACTGAAAGCAAACTCTCTCAGGCTATGCCTGCACTGCAAGCGAGGGGTGTGACTCCCCTGCTCACATATGCATACTCGTACTAGCTGTCATTGAGCTAGCAGGAGTATAAATAGCAATGTAGCGGTGATAGCATAGGTAGTGACAACGGAGGCCCAGCTGAGCCAGGCCAAGAACATACCCACTGGTTTTAGGCAGGTTTGTACTCTGCCCGTCTCTGCTATTTATACACTTGCTAACTCAATGGGAACCAACATGAGTATGTATACATGAGCAGGGGAAATCACCTCTAGCTCACAATACAGACATAGCCCTAAGCTCTACAGTCACTTCTGTTAGAATCAATGTCCTCTATCCAGGTACTTTCTCCTCTCCAGCAATGATGCAGATCAGGACCCTTCTCTTACAAGGCTACTTTGTGCTTATTAATAAATAATCTCATTGCACTAGGGTAGGTATGGGGATTTGAAGAAGCAGGTGAAGTCCCCAACTCACCTCTGGGATAATTCAGATGAAAATTTAGGATTCTATCCTGCAGTTTTTGTGCAAGTTGAGAATTTTGTGCAAGGACTGCACAATTGGGCCCTTGATCAACAGCAGCAATGCTTCAGTTTACAAACTGTACAACTAAAAGATCAAGGCCCTGAGCCTGTCAGACTTAATGCAACTTTGGTACAGAGAAAGCAGATGCTCCCAACAGAGTCTGTAGTGCCTGAACTTGATACTAAGAACACAAAGAAAACTTATTCTGAACTGTACTTGTGCTATTCTCTGGTCTACCTCCCTCCCCCAAACACGCTCAGGCCTTTCTCCAAGTTATCCCAAGGGCTTGAACAAATGGAGATGGTGGTAGGTCTTCTGTTGCCCTTGTCTCACTCCCTCCCCTTGCCTTCCAGCTCTAGATGCAGCTGGCTTCATTCCTGCTGCCAAGGTCAGATCTAGAACTAGCAGCAGGCTACATGTCACAGCAAGGGCTCAGATTAATGGGTGGCTAAAATAGCTAGTTCTCAGATGTCATCTAGCCGTGCTATTGGTCACTTCATCCAATCGCGTAGTTAGTGAAAATTCCAAGACAGAAAAAGTTTGCTAAAAGCAAGGTTTATAAGTAGTAGACAACTGCACTTCCCTAGTAATGTGTGCATAGGCAGCATTGCCATGACCTCTGGCAAATAATACAGAACAGTCATTTCTGCATGAGGATGGGGTGGTGAAGGCTTCTTACATTCCCTGTATAACACAGGCCAGTTTTGAGGTATTTTACACTAGAGGGACTGGCCTGTTTTACTGGGAAGTTGCAGGGGAATTTCTCAGGTCATTATGGGAGCTTTGCCTCACCTCAGCTGGAAGAGAAGGGGCAGGCAGTTTAGCATGAGAGGGAAAAGACTGCCCCCAACAGGCTGTGCTGAAGAAGCAAGCTGGCACTGTGGGCCATCTCATGAGAGCACTTTTTGCTTCCAAATGTAAACCTCACTTTTGCTTCCACATAACCATTCAGGCTACGAGAGATTAAAATTGCCACTCTGAAACATACCATTGGACAACCAAGTACTGTCATGCCAGAGTGCCTGGGTTGGGGGAGGGGAGGAGATACTGAGAAGCTACAACCCCTTCCTTGAGTGCCCTGTTTCTGCAGACCAACTGTATAAGATATTAAAAAAGACACATTCTCTACCCCCATGCAGTGACTTGCCAGGAGTCTTGTACTAAGAGTATGGCTGTATAAAATAGAGGTTGTAGGGGCCAGCCACACACTCCCTCCCCCCCCCCCCCCCCACCCTAGCTTAGATTTGTGTGTTATGGGCCCAACCCTGCAACATTATTATTATAGTTCCTGCTCTCATGGACTTAGAGTTCAGTGGGTTAAAACACAAACCCTAAGGGGGGAAATGAAGGATCTGTCCGATTCTAAATTTGACCAGGAACCAAGTTACTTCCACTCCCATTTTCCTCTCCCTTTCACCTCAAGTAAGTGAAAAACTCTGTTCTTGTCTCACCATAGCTCCTTAACCAGCATCCTCTGCCCAGAGAATTGATTTTTGGTTCCATGCTGGTTCTACCTTACTCAATACTGCTTAGCATGAGACTGGTCAGACGGGGAGAACAGGGAGGTCTTGAAGAGGCCCAGGCTTCCAAACCAAGACAGCCAACATAACCCCTTCTTGCCTTCTGCTAAAACCTTTCCCTCATCCCTGCCCAAGAAACACTTGCTTTGGAACTGGCCAATCCTGAAAGGGTAAAAGCCCTCAGTATTAAGCAGGCTAAGGGCTAACACATTGAAAACTGAGGTTTACAACACATTGGGGATTTCACTCTGCATTGAATGCATGTGTTATGTTTGAATATTTATATTTTTTAAAATTCTCAGGGCCAAACTTCAGTTCTACATGTAAAAATTATCAAGCATCAGCCACAAAAGGTTTGTGGTTTGCCGGTGCATGACAAGCACTCTGAACTGCTGGTAACACAGGGCATCTATGAATCCATTCACTGAACCGGTGTCCAGGCTGCTTATAAATATAATCAGCTTCTTTGGCTTTCTGGAGGCAGATTTTGTATCAATGACTGCAATTAAGTTATTTAAAAACCATACTGGGGCTGCTCTCATTGCAGCTGGGAACTGCCTAGTCCTTGAGGAATTGATTCCCTGGCTTTGATCCATGTTTTGCTGAAGGACTGACTCCTGCTGAGCTATGCAGTTGGAAATTTGAACTTGCCCTCTCTTCCTTCTGGAAAGGCCAATGTTCTGCAGGGGGTGCTGGCTCAGTGGGAGAGGCCCAGAGACTGCAGCAGGTGAAAGGTGGCACCCAAGGCCCAGCTTGTCTCTATGTTGTTCACTTTCTTTGTTAACTATGAAGAAACAAAAAGAAATCAGTCAGTTGCAACATTTCTCCTAGACCTATACAGCTGCCACCATAGACAAAGAGCGAGCTGATGGGTAGATGCACAGAATGGCAACAACCTGAAAGAGCTTCACTCGGTACTCTGCAAAGGAAAACACAATGGATATTGCCTGGAGGCAGCAACCTGAACTGCTAGTGTCCACTAACATCTGTTATGGAATCAGATGGATTTTAAAAGAACAAATACTAACAACAGTCTCTCTCCTTTGAGTCCAGTTGCAACAACTTGGCATGGGGATAGGGGACTGCTTGGGCAGCATAGATACCTGCTTTCTATTAGGTGTTGTACTCATCTGTAGCCCACTGTACAATCCGGACCAGTATCCTTTTCAGTTCTTTAACTTTGTCTCCCTCTGCACTTCCCAATACCACTCCTCACTGTCCTGCCTTCTCCTTGCTAGCCCCTACTGGTCCCTGGCCTGACAATCATACTGAAGACAAGAAATAAGTGATTTTGGGATAGAGAGTAAATACACTGAGGAAGCAAAGTGAACAGTCTCAGCCTGCTCTCCACTGTAAGAAATCCTCCCCAACCTCAGACTGCCTCCCCACAGACCTGCCTAAAATCCTCCCATAGCAACAAGTTGCTAAGTGTTCTCCACCTGCGATCTAGCCAGCTACAAGAGGGGGGAAGAGCTAAGCAGAGATTGGCTCTGTGAAGAATAATAAAGCCCACAGAACCTCCCTCCACAGACAGACAGAACGAACTTGGGCCACAGAGAAAAAAATGGGATAAACACAGGAATTCTTATATTTTCTTATTTCCGGTTTCATAATCGGTAAGAACAATAGTGACCCCTGAACTGGATTTTTCTAAGGAGCTGGATTAACCTTCATCGTGCTTAGGTTCAAGAGATTATATGCATGGAAACTACACATCATGAGGCGGACTGGGGTCACATGTCCTAGATGGATGGAGGAACCAAGTGCTTCATGGGGGAGGGAAGATGGTGGGGAAGAGGTTGGGTGGGGGGGGAGTTAGCAGCTGGTGAGAATGTAAACCTGCTGCTGCCAAATTTCTCTTCCGCTTCTGCTGCTGTCCAACACTATCTCGCCCCAAGCCTTTAATTTCCTTCCATATCAAATCCAATCTTGTTTCAGTCGAGGCTCTGCCCACATCTTATCTCCTGCTTCTCTCTCACATCCACTCGGTGTGCACATCTACTTCCCTTCTCACCCTCTGAATCCTTTTTCCACAAATACCTCTGTTCCTTCTCCCATGCTGCTCCCTCTTCTGGGAACAGCCTCCTTGATCCTGTTCCCCATGCACCCTCCCTTCCTCCTCTTTCACATCCCCCTACAGCCACCTTTTCTTACATTTCTTCCACCTGAACCCTCCTTCCTACACCAACCTAAATAAAAACATGTCCACTATGAAACAAGCAGCCTCATCACTTTATTAGAGGTAAATTTTATGCTTACTTGCTTATTGTCATCTCTCT